ATCCTTCTCTTAAAAGCGGTCTACAATATTTGCTCAACTAACCTTTGAACTAATTGCTCTATCAATATGTTAAAACTTCAAAAGTAAAAAAGCTAATATTAACACTAGAATAAGCTAAATTCGCTGGAAATCACTTTGCCTTGATAGCAACCTTTTTCTTAACCCTATGCCGCTTGCAAATAAAATTTCTGAAAATACATTTATTACTAAAAAAAGTATTTGATTCAGCCAAATTAAATTAACCAAATATTAAAAAAGCAAACTTAAGATATTTTAAAGATAAAATATAGATATAGATTGAAAGTCCCTCGATTTTATACGTTACGTGAAATGTGCTATTCGAAAGTAAGCTATAAAGATTAATTCGGCTAGGGATTTATGTGTTTTCAATAAAAATAGGAAATTCTAGAGAGTTTTTCAAGTATATAGAGCAAATCCAAATTTAAGTGGTATCAAGGGGTTAACCCTTTGCAACCTTTGGGGGCTTTTGTTGCTCTGGCAACGGGAAAAGCGTTGGCGCTCTAACAAAAGATGCAACCACTGGTAAGCTGCAACCGCACCCCCCTTTTAGTCCACGCCCCCTTTTGCCCGCCACCCATGACCATGCCCCCACGCTTCGCTTAACTAATTAGAGCGTGTGAGAAAATGCGCGGAAAGCGTGGGCAGAGGGGTGGTTTGGGGGGTGTTTTTGGGGGTGTGGGGTGGTCGCAGAAAGGTAAAAAGGGGGTGGCATCCGGGGGGGGGCTGCCACATCCTTTGCGCCCTTCATTTGCCTCCCATTTCCACCCAACATTTGGTCGGCTCATTCAGTCGTGTTCTCTGTAAAGGTTTGGAATTCGTTAATTGTTTTGAATGAAATTTACCATTTGATCTAAACATTTTGTAGTTTATGATGGCATTATGTACATGTAAAAAGTTATGCATGTTAAGCATAGATTGTGCTGATAATGAGTTCATAGTTTGGCCATTTAAATACAGATGAATGATGCCAAGCCAGCACTTGAAAGGGCAAAAAGTTCCCTTTAATAAATAATTTAATATAGCAAAAGTCTAGTCATTTCCGGGGTATGTTTAGGTACATAAAAGTGAACCCATTTGAGGGCTCTTTAAGTATCAACAAGTTCTTAAGCGTCGCCTCCCCGGGGACTTTTACGAATTTTCCCGCAGCTGCCATCTTGAGTCCGTCCGTCATTCGCCGCCCCCAATCCAGTGGGCGGTGGGCGTGGCCACGGCTTCTAGGCCAACTCGGAAAAAAACACATTTCAATTTTCCACATGGGAAATGTCGCGCGCCGAACCAATTTATGATATCCGCAAAAGTGGCAAAGGCAGGAAAAAAAGTAAATAAATAAAAAATCGACAAAAAAAAAACGGAACAAAAATACTGAATACCAGAGAAGCGTTGGGGGCGATGGGCGTGGCACCGGACCACGTTGACAGCAAATAATAAAAACAAGTGGATGGCGTAGAAGAAACGTAAATTTCATCAGATAATTGCGAATCATAAATGCGCTAAGGGAGACATAAATCAGAGCTTGAAGAAAGGACATCCAGGACTGGGCTATATCTCAAAAATAAATGTTTAGTGACATATAAGGTTTACATTTTAATTACACAATGAATTTTGTTTAATTATATTAAAATAGGTTTGCAATAATTTTGATTATTGTTATTTTGACTAACAAGTCTCATGTTTCTTTGACAGTAAAAACATATAATATATAAAATATGAAATTTAATATACGATATAATAATTTAAAATGACTTCTAGCTCCTTAAATAATATAAAGCCTAAACTACACTTAAATCAAATGATAAATGTGCTGGCAAAATGCCCACCGATTCGACTATGCCCCACTTCAGTTCGCACTCATATGTCAATTCTGTTTGCAGAGTGCATAAAAAATATTGAAAGCGAATAATATTTATATCGCGTGTCGGTATCCATTATGCCGCGTTGTATCTATCTGTTCGTCTCTCTCCCGTTCCCAAAAAAACAAAAGCACGCATATAAATAAGTTGCAAATAAAGCGAAGCGTATTGGTAATAATTTTAAAATTTATGTTTATTTACAATTACAGTTTATTTGCCAAATGCACACACACAAACAAGGAAAGCAAGGTTCACGCACACACACACCAGCAGTTGACCACGCCCCAAAGGGGCGGTCCAAAATAAATTTGCAATTACATTCTGCACAAATCTTTGGGCCATTTAAATTTTGATTAAATGTCCCCCATATCAAACTATTGAACTTTAGTGCTTGATTTGTTAGTCAAATCAAATATTTTCAAATATATTCCACCCAGTATTTATATTATATTTTTCTTTTTATATCATATTTATGGGTGAAATGCATAGAGAGGGGCATTGCAATAAATATGCAAATCTCATTCATAACAAAAGATATTCGATACCATTTCCGAATTACCGAATAATTAGCCACAAATCAAGTGTTCGCAAAAAATTAATCAACAAATATTCAGAGGCAGCAGAAATGTGTATAAATACACGCATTTATGTTAATGCAATTATTGCTTGACTTCGCTTAGACAGCGCTTAATAAATGTTTATTAATCATATTTGTAAACAAATTGCCATTGCGCACCATTTGTGAGCAATTATTTATTTATGCCAATAAACATTTTCCATTTTCCACTTTGCAATTTGCATTCCGATCCGCCACGCCCCCATTGCGCCCGCCCCTCTGATAGCTTTAATTCAAGAGTTTGCATTCAACATTTTTATTATTGAATTTTAATTAATTTAACAAATAATGGCCAGCCAGAGCAAAAACAAATTCGGATTTATGTGCAGCACAAATTATGAATTACAAAATGCTCTACATTTCCATTTTGTGCATCATTTGGCAAACATGATTTAAATTTAATTTTCTATTTTCTATGCTGATACTATGATTTGAAATAAATACTAAGTGTGCTTAAAGTAATAGTCGTAGACCTTTTTATGAAAATGATTTTGTTACAGTCTGAAAATAAAAATGTTCTTTTCTTCAAATAAGGATCTCCTTTGATTTGAGTTTCATGCATTTGATGCAAAATTCAATGAGACGCCGATCCAATTGAGGCCCACTCTTTCGATATCCCGATGAGCGATATAATCGATATGCCAGGCCCATGCCACGCCCATAAATTGGCTTAATACCTTCCGGGGTGGACGGGGCAAAAAACAACAAGTGAAAAAATGGTGAAAACAGGACTGAAAAAACCAGAGAAATAAAAGGCAGCGAAAGACGAAACAAAGAGAACTGTAATTGATATTTGCTTTATGTGCTTGTGCACACAGCGAAATTGAAACAGTAAACATATTTTAACATATGCCCAGACATATTTACTTTTATGACTTCTGTCGGCCCGAGTCTCCATTCCTGATACCCAATACCCGATACCCAATACCCGATTCACCCGATTGGTGGCAGAGTCGAGGAACACGGCGTTCGTCACTCGATGCGAAATCGATAAATTAATTAGCGCAAGGTGACGTTGGGAAATCGGTATCGAGTGGCGTAACCCTAATCCCAGACCCCAAAAAGGGGGAAACTAGATGGGCGGATTAAAACTGTAATCGAAGTTTCAAGAACACTAGATTTAGCGTTAAGAAATAGTGATTTTATGTACAATTTGTTTTCTATAAATATCAAAAAACTCTCTTTTGCTAAATCATTAAAATTAAAAACGAAAATGAAACAAATAAGATTTAGTGTTCTTTCTGTAGAACATGCTGGCCACTAACACCCACTGCTATTTTCACTATAATGTTGAAATTTAATTATACTTAATTTAAACACAATTTTAAATGTGAGTCTGCAGAAGAGATGGATTACTTAGCCGCACTCAGAGAAATAAACGTAACATTGCTCTGAAAAAAAAACGATTGGTAAAGTTAATATATAACACTAATAGGGTCCCCAACCATAAAATGGTTGCTCTTACGTAATATGTAAACGTAAGGGTTACTATAAAAAGGGTAGCTATAAAAAAGAGTACCTATGGATTGTAGTTAAAAAACTATTTTTATAGTTATTCAACCCATATAAAATATAGTATAATATATTATTTGTATATATAATTAAAAACTTACTTAACTATCTGTATTGCTCAATTTATCAACCAAATTCATAATATGCACATTAACATTTTTGTTTATTGGAATGTAAATTGTTTTAAAATTCCATTTTGAACTAGAAGATATTTCATTATTATCAATGAAATCATTATATGAGTCATGATACTTACTTAGTTCCAGTTCTTGGCTCCCTATCAGCAATAGTTAAGACTCTGTTGTTTCTAAGAGGCATAGGTACACTTAGAAAATTTACAAAGTATAAATAATACATTAATCCATGTTTTTAAAAAATTCTAATTCCATATCTAAATTCTATTTTATTAGCATATAAAGTTTTTTTTGCTGTTCTTATACTTGAAAATATTTACACAATCTTAAATTGTAGATTACTTAATTGACGTAAAAAATGAGCTGTACTGAAAGTGATTGAAAAGGATTTGTACACCCGTTACTCGTAGAGTAAAAGGGTGTACTAGGTTCGTCGGAAAGTATCTAACAAATGAAAGGAAGCGTTTCCAACCCTATAAAGTATATATATTCTTGTTCAGGATCACTAGCCGAGTCGACATGGCCATGTCCGTTTGTCCGTCCGTATGAACGCTGAGATCTCGGAAGCTATAAAAGCTAGAAACTTTGCATTTCGCATGTCGGTTCTTGAGCTGAGTAACATTTATCTAATAGTCGAGGCCGTCGACTATAGCGTTCTCTCTTGTTTTGTATATGCTTGCTCAATATCACCTAAACACTTTGTATTTTTAGCTTCCGAAACTGCCAGTCCTAAAATCCAATCAGTAATCACAAGGTTCATGGATGGCACCCTTATCAGCAACGTTTTTGTTTTCATTATTTTGCCAATTGTGTGCCTAATTTCAGTACATTTTGAAACATTTCTGCGAACGGTTTTAGTTATTCGAAATGCGGAAGTTGGTCTCCTTTATCCTGTGCGGCTTGGTTGTGCTGTACTTCCTTGTATCACCGGCGGACTCCAAGGATATGGGCAAATCTGTCTGCATACTGCAGAATGCACCAGTTCAGTGCAGCCACTTTTGCTTGGCCGCACTTAGACCTATAAGCGATGGGATTCGTGGGACCCAGGACAAATGGGTCAGGCTAGAATCGAAACTTCTGGCGGTGGAGAAATTGCTAGAGGTCTTTGAGAAGAGACTGACTCTGGTAGAAGGCCACCTTCAAGAGATTCGAACCCTTCAAGATGCGCTTCCAGATACCCTTAGCAGGATTTTTTTTAAAATCCCACCGGATTTCGAGCGCATTGGCTCAAGGTACTTTTACATTGAGCATGAAAGGAAAAATTTGACAGAGGCTGTAGACAGCTGTCGTAAGAAAGGTGGAGATCTAGCAATCCTTGACAAAAACGATAATCAAACCTTGGACGCCATCAAAGCGAAACTAAGTGAAAGTACTGCTTATTCGATTTGGATGATCAATAAGGAGACAAAGGAAAAGGTTAATGCTTATATTTTCATAAACAGATTCCGCATTGATTCCAGGAGCAGATACTCAGAATATGGTTCAATTTGCGAAGCAGAACAGAAAACTTAACTTAATTAAAAATTTGGCGTATAATGATTAATTACTAGTTTTTAAAATTATTACTAAATAAAACATTTCCATCGTACCAAAAATACAAGTTGTACTGTTAACTTTTTATTCGTAAAATTTGTAGTGTGGGTGCCTTTTGCAACATAAGATTCACTTGTTACCTAAAAATACGCACGGCAATAGCATAGTGTAGTTTTGTTCTTTCGAAAAATGTACGAAACTGTAAAATTTAATTAATTTTATAATGCACTCGTGGTCGCATTTATTTATATATCCACTGCATTTGGCAATGTATTGCCGCGTTTCGGTTGTTGTTTTTCAGGGGCGGAGTTCCGGTTTGGGTTTTGCGTTTTCAGTGGTGTCCGTCCACATTACATTCACTAAATTGACATAATGACCAAATAATTTTCCAGTTCGATGAGCCCCGTGGCCAAAGTGACAGGCGAAAGGGCCCAACAGACGGCCAGGAATCGATGGGGGGATTTTCAATTTTCGCATACGTTTGACAGCCATCGAGTGACATCACATTTAATGCTAATGCTCGAATTGAAATTTATTGTGCATGTCAACATTAATTTGCGAAATCTATGCAGCGACCTGACTGCAAAATATATATATATTATATATAGGTCGGCATATCGCGGCAATTAATCAGGCGAACGATGCAACAGCCCAGGAATCAGGGATAATTTGGCACTTAAAAAGGGTGAAGACCGTCTTCAAAGGCACTGAAGGGTGTCGCCTAATGTCGTTGTCAAGTGACGAGTCGACTCCCCCGACTGGGACCCTTTTTTCCCCCTTTTACAGGGTATTTGCGGGCATATTAAACTGGGGTTGTTAGAACTTAAAGCCTTGGAACCTCAAAAATTACCTAAGTTAATATTTTTTTTAGATATTTTGTTGAGTACAATTTTTGGCAGCAGAATGATATTTGCATATTCATCTGAGGGTAAGAAATTGATATTCTTTTAACACATTTTCAAAATTTTTTTTTAAACAAAGAGAATAAAAGCTAAATCTTTATCGCCAACATAGGGTAACTTGTAGTTTCATTGACACTTTCGCTAGATTTTCCTTGGATTTTTTTCTGTCCATTCGTTTTCCTTTTCACTCCCCCAAGTTTTCGCCAGGACTCGTTCAGTCAGTCATTGGGGACAGGACTGAGTAAAAGTTCCATTTATCAATTGATTGACTAGATAATTGCCAGCAAAGTGAAAGATAACCGAAGGAAGGACGCACTGCAGCAGTTACTAATGATCCTGGAGGCCTAATCAGTGTTTCCCTTTTTCTGTCTGCTTTTTTTTTTACGATATTCTCTATTAGTAGAGTTGAGAAAAATTGGTTTAAAAACCGGAAAACGGTGTATGGAGCTGGGCGGCGGAGTTCTTGTGACAAACGCAGGCCATAAAGCCATAAATGTCGGGCCATAAATTATGCGGCTAAGGGTGGTCAACATGGGTTAACGGCGGGGAAAGTGGGCTTTTTGGCCAACGGGTGACATGTGTGAAAATGCACTTTACTGCCACTTGAATGTTTGATGGCCGACTGGCCGAATCAACTGGCATTCGCTGGGAATTGAAGGCTTAAAACGGCCTCAGCCGACACTTCATTGGATCACCATTTATTTGAAGGGGAAATTAGGTCGAAAAACTGTCCCATAAGGAAAAAAAGACTATATTTTTATAGTTTAGCTTGGAAACGAAATGACAGTACTTCTGCTTTTTTGAAACTCGAAAATATATTCGCGCAAGCGTTGCATACCTATTTAGTAAGCCCTGTTTCGAAATATTAATGCAGATAGTTCTGATTTTTTGCTCATCTAATTAACAACTCTATAAAAGAAGCGAAATCTTTGTATATCCACAGGATTTGTTATATTGAGTGTTATGAGATATATTAAAACAGGAGCGGAAGATAACTTCGGCAAATCCGAAGTTTATATACCCTTGCAGCTTAAACCATTTCATGCTATTAAAATCATTCATATATTACAGAAAACTTTTATATTCGGAAGGTATATACAGGGGTGGTCAAAAGTATTTTCACAAAACAAAAGTTAAATATACTCATAATTTGAACTTACTTCTTGTTAACTTTGGCATCAATGGAAAGGTAATTTAAATGCCGTTTGAATGATACATACGTTTCTTAACCCATTCAGTACTTATTGAAGAGGACGAATTTGCGTGAAAATCTACTTGTTAAACTTTTTTCCTTGTCTTGAAAACTTAAATTTTTTGATGCAAAAAGTTTCTTCAAACAAAAATAATAACAACTACAAAAAGAATTTTCAAAAATCATTTTGCTTATATTTTTTATGATTTTTTGAAAATGTTTAGAAACTTGAATTTGAGCCATATTTTTCTTTTTTTCATACAAATTTGTTCCGACATTGTCACCTTCAAAAAATCATAAAAAAAACTATGCAAACTATCAATTAGTTGTTCCGAGCAATCATTATGTACTTAATTGGTTTGTTATGATGTATGTTTATTTATATTAAAGACAAATATCTAATTCAATGAATTAAGTTTAGAATTGTCCGCATTGTAGTGTTTTTGTAACGTAACGTGAGTAGTAGGCATAGTTTAAGTTTGAGAGCGAGCTACATCTTTGGCAAGATGAGCAGCAGCCCCGTAGTGACAGGACGACGTAATGACCTGGTTTGGAGAATAGTTTTAGATCTCCTGGTCCACGTCTTGTGCTTTCAAAAGCTTTGGCTTCTTAGCCTGTGGAGCGAACGTATCATCTACCGTATCCTGGGAATCGCGCTTTGGCAAGGAATTTGCTTTAGACTGTTTCTGTTCCTCCTCGGATTGGCAAAGAGCTTCGGGTGAAGCTTCTTCCTCCAGGCCCATGACTCCGCCCAGCTGACGGACGTTAGCCTGATCCCCGGACTGGCGAAGAGCTCCAGATAATGATTCATCCTTCAGCTCACGGCCCACCGCCGATAGTCCCTGTTTGGAGGACACCTGGTCGTCAGTGTCGGATGTTTTAGTGACAGGCGTAACACTAACCTGCTGATCTGCGTCGATTTTCTTGGCGGATTCCTCACCCTTGGAGTCCTTCTCCAGGCCCTCAACATAGGTGTTCGAAGGCGGTTCCGCCTCGATCTCCGGCTTTTCACCCTTGCCGGAGGTAGTCGCCGACTCGAGAGCTGCAATTCCGGGCTTCTCGGTGGCTACGGACATGATTGCAATCCCCGAGTCCATTGATGCGTCGTTTTCCCCCTTTTGGTCAAAGGAGTCGCCGGAGGTAGTCGCCATCTCGGGAGCTGCAGTTCCGGGCTTCTCGGGCCCGGTGGCTATGGTCATTATTGGAAACCCGGCCTCCATTGGTGCGTCGTTTTCCCCCTTCTGGTTGAAGGAGACATCGAGGTCGGGCATATCGGCCATATTGTTCACGTGTGCAAAGTTTTTGCTGGCTGATTTTTTTTAAAACGTCGTCTCGGTGATCCTTACCGCTGCTGAAAACCACTTAGCACCTTGATCCAACACCCCAAATAGGTTAATTAGGAATTATACAAGTTTTAATGCGCTTACTTTCAGTGGGAACCAATTTCACGTTGCAAGAAAAAAAAAATTTTAACATTCAATATCTTGACTGATATTTGACAGACACTTAGTGTGGTCGCACGCCATTAGGGTTTGCCAGAATCAGTGTTGCCAGATTACTGCGAGTTGATAATCCCTTAGCAAGTCTGGGCACATTTATTATATCTGTTACGATTCTCCAAAGTAATCCCTTAAGTGACTTTTCCTAATCTTCTGCCTGGTTTGATAACTTGATGGATGGTTTTCAGTGGCTTCAATGATTATTGCTGACCGATGGTAGATATCCGAAAAGTGTTTGATTCCAATGGGATCTTCGCAAGGGGGTTTCTGGTGTTGCTGTTGCTAATCAGACCGATTGAATTTGGTTTTAGTCTAATTATCTTAAGAATTGAATTTTTGGTTAACAATTGCAGGTCGTTCTCGTGGGAACATTGTATGTACAGAGCTTTCCGATTTTCAGAAAACTAAAAACTAATAAAAGAAATTTCAATTTACTAGCGTGTGTTTACCGAAAACGAAAAATAACGGTTTTTGTATTATTTTGAATTTAATTAATTATCTGGTCGTTCCTATGGCAGCTACATATATGATAAAGTCTTCCGTTTTTAATCAATTTTGTTTGAAGTTCTGAAATATTAAAGTAATTATATTAGGAAATAAATATAAATATGTCGAATAACACAGAACTTATAATTTTTTCATTTTTTGTAAGGGGGTAGCTCGGTTTTTTTTGGGGATTCAGATTTTGGTCAAAAATACTCATATTTTAGTGGTTTTTCAGTCGTAGTCTAGCCAAATCAAGGCGTACAGCTAAGAGACCGACAGATTTGAGCAGCTTGCTTCAATTGGTATCGACCCCCATCATTTTAAGGAAGATTTATTTTTTGACAAATTTTTTCATTTTTTGTAAGGGGGTAGCTCGGTTTTTTTGGGATTCAGATTTTGGTCAAAAATACTCATTTTTTAGTGGTTTTTCAGTCGTAGTTTAGCCAAATCAAGGCGTACAGCTAAAAGACCGACAGATTTGAGCAGCTTGCTTCAATTGCTATCGATCCATATCATTTTAAGGAAGATTTATTTTTTGACAAATTTTTTCATTTTTTGTAAGGGGGTAGCTCGTTTTTTTTGGGATTCAGATGTTTGTCAAAAATACTCATTTTTTAGTGGTTTTTCAGTCGCAATTTAGCCAAATCAAGGCGTACAGCTAAAAGACCGACAGATTTGAGCAGCTTGCTTCAATTGCTATCGATCCCCATAATTTTAAGGAAGATTTATTTTTTGACAAATTTTTTCATTTTTTGTAAGGGGGTAGCTCGGTTTTTTTTGGGATTCAGATTTTGGTCAAAAATACTCATTTTTTAGTGGTTTTTCAGTCGCAATTTAGCCAAATCAAGGCGTACATCTAAAAGACCGACAGATTTGAGCAGCTTGCTTCAATTGCTATCGATCCCCATAATTTTAAGGAAGATTTATTTTTTGACAAATTTTTTCATTTTTTGTAAGGGGGTAGCTCGGTTTTTTTTGGGATTCAGATTTTGGTCAAAAATACTCATTTTTTAAAGGTTTTTTCAGTCGTAGTTTAGCCAAATCAAG